TATGATAGCTAACTTATGTTAATAGATACATTTTAGTGACTTAATGTGAAAATGAAATATTTGAAACAAGCTTTAGTTTCCTATGACTGAATAGGAAAACGAAACAATCTAAATGAGGTGTATCGTTTTATAAATGAATATGAAAAGAAACAATCTAAATAAACTGTACTTCTTAATAATTAAATATGAAAATGAAACAATCTAAATGAGTTTTAGCGTACCACAAATTAATGTAAGTGCAAACACGAATTAACTCATAGTTGAATAACATTTGGTCTTGAAATCACGTTTCTTCACGATTGGTCAATGATGTTGTTAGACAATACTTCAGAACAGACTATATTAAATATTTAATAAAATTGGTGATATCTTACTCGATTTTGGTCGATGATGTCTACGATAGCAACAAGTTTACCCTGGAACGGCCCATCGCCGACATAAGCGATGCGGCCTGACTCTACGTACCTCTGGAACGGCTGTTCAACAAAGAAATGAAAACATAAATCATTAGTTCTGTAACAAGTACGATATCATGCAAAATATAGGTAGGTGACCCTTTACGATTTATAAATGCACCTACCATGTGCACGCAATGTTAAGGTTACATTAAATGATATTTTGTATCTCTCACATACATTATTCGAAATAAATGATTTAATTGAAACCGAATAATATTTAAGTGATGTTTTCTCGTTGAGACAGTAATTTTTATTCAGCACCGTGAATTATGCGCGCAATATTGTTCAGTTTAAAACGACACTTCACTTACCATCGTTTACCGGAAGCGAAAGACCAACACAACTTCACCACCGGATAAAGCATCGACAACACCAACTATTCAAACTAATTTATCCCTGCCTTGAATTCCTAAAGAGAATTTCGGTAAAATAAAATTTACTATACGAACACAAACACGCGACTGCACGTAAGCTTATGCGTGTAAATTCGCTATTCCTCACACAAGCGGTTCCTCAACCTCAAATTATTCACAAACTTATAACAGAGGGGTAACGAGTCAATTTGCTGATGAAAGGGGTAAGACCTTTCGCTGGCAATTATGCTCATAACTAGAGTGACCACGTGATTCTCGTCTATATCGTCCCGTCCTCAAACTTGTCACTCTGCTCATAACTGCTCATGACCCTCATTACACTGCAACTGCACGTACGAAACAATGATGTGCAAAGTGGGTGTACAATGTTAATGGACATGGTCAGATATGGTTTAATTATTTAGATCATGATCATGAGAGCCAGTGATTTTAATCATGATAGATTGTAATTATGAGAAACAATTGACTACATGTTTCATGATTTTATATTGTAAATAAATTTGATCTACGATTTGAACTCTCACAAAAATATATAATTCAAGTAAGTATGTACATACATTTTATATTGTTCATGAAATTTAATTAAAGAACATTACTTAAAGAATTTTTTATTGCACTATATGTGGATCATTTTCCTAAAATATTTATTGTAGCAATAGTTTATCGTACTTTTCAGTCAAAGATGTGCCCAGCACTTTTAGAAAATGAAGAGAGACGTTTTGGTGGAATGACATTTTTTGCACAAAGCCATCCAGTTGAAGTTTGTGGAAGCAATGGTTTACCTCTTACACCAAATTCGATAACCATCTATGGAAAATCTCAGTTCTTGAAAACTATTCACCATCCAAATTTATCTACGTATCTCGATATAATAAGAAGCAAACATGGTAAAGATTCGCAGATATACAAATTTATTTAAAGTGTGTTTCAATTTAAACACTGGTTAATGATAATACCTTCTGATAAAATCTGCACACTAATTAACATGTTAAGCGCAGAGCCTGAGCTTTTCGTTCAGACAGCGCGGCGGGTTTCGGCGACTTGATAAATAATATCTTACATAGAATAAAACATATATCACAATGACGATTTTATTTCACTTCCCGGTTGGACTATAATAATGTGCAGCAAAAACATTTGAATGCAAGACAGCCAGAAATTTGACCAAAAAAGTCGTCACTTTCTGCAGTACGTGTAAAGTTAAACTATATCTTTGCCTAGAATGTTTTAATAAATTCATTACATATACATTATTTATTTCTTAACTTTGAAACTGCCAGTTCCTGGGACCGACGCCGCGCTTAACGTGTTAACCAGCATTTCATATGCACCAAATTAATAGATTAATACTGTCGTAATTGTCTAATAAAGATTTTTTCTTGTAGAGAGAATAGTAGTTGTTACAGAGTATAATGGAGATCCACTGAAGAGTAAAGAGAATTTAAACACAGACTATATCATAAAAATTGCATTTCAATGTCTGTTAGGCTTACAATATATGAATGAGCTGGATTTAGTGCATAGACACCTTAGTCCTGAAAATATATTAATTAGCAAATGTGAAAACGTGCAATTATATAATTTTGGTTTATATTACATGACAGATTGCGGTAAAAATGTTTCTTTTCCTATTGGGTACGTAACGATAGACAGATGTAACGTGTATCTTGGTAAAAATAAGTTTGTTTTAAATCTATATTATAATTTTTAGTTACCCGAAATACACGGCACCAGAGGTATTTCTTAGTCCCGGCGTCAGTAGCCCGAAAGTCGATTCTTGGTCTTTGGGCATGATCATTGCAGAATTATTATTAGAGAAGCCGATATGGCCAGGTATTAAATTGTCTCAATGTTTAAGGAAGGTTCTCAGTCTGATACACTGCGAAACCTCTGTATTCGAACGCCTTGCGAGAGAAACTAATTGCTACAACACTTACAAGGTATAATTTAATATAATGTTTACGTTCTTTTGACAATTCTAAAAGTTCGTAATTGTTTTTAGAATTTGCCAGATAGAGTGAAAGATTTCGTAGACTGTTGCCTTCAGATTCATCCATCGAAACGCAAGATACCCAGAGAGTTATTAAAATTACCGATATTCGAAGAATATTTGATAAAGACTCAGAAAGAGAAAGAAGAAAGTACGTACGAGAATGTCACTACTAGAAAAATGGACGAATTGTATTATTTATGGCAATTGGCTGGCGGAGATATTACGGTGGAGTTGAAGAAACAAGGACTCATCAGATCGAGACCGCCCATTTTATCTGTCCCAAAGTAATTAAAAATATTGCACAAACGTTAAATTGCGTTGAATCAAATTAATCTTGCTTTTTAGCTTAGTGATACTTTTAGGTCAGATGTTTGGCAGAAGAGACACGGCCGGTTTATTAGATCTACGAGTGGTTAAAGTTCCGCTCGATACACTGCATCAACGTTTGTCTCATATTCCATACACAGCGAATTATTCTTATCTAACGAATCAGTATGTATAGGAAGTATTCCAGATTTCATTTGTCTTTCAGCTTTCTATTAAATTTCATTGTTTGTTAGAATGCGTGTTAAGTCCCAAGAAGATTTAATTGATGCCGCCTCCCAGTTACCTCTAATTATAAGAGAGAGGGATACGGAATACCAATTTTATAGAATTGTTTTGTACGATAGATTGCTTCAGGTGATTATACGTAGACTCACATTTAATAACCATTTAATTCTATATTCTTCTTCTTATTATTATTATTATGTAATAGGTGTATCCAATTACTCGCGAGGCAATCATTGAAGAGGCGCATAAAGATATACCTCCGCCGGTTAGGGGAGCTGTTTGGGCAGCGTTACTCGGTATTACTGGTGACATCCAGAAACGCTACGACATGATCGATAAAGAAACGCCCACTCACACTGATCGACAAGTAATTCACCGATGAATCTTGTTACACAATTTACATTTACACTTCAACCGATTGATAATTTCTTAGATAGAGGTGGACATTCCAAGATGCCATCAGTATAGTGAATTATTGTCGTCTGGTGCTGGTCATGAAAGATTACAAAGATTGTTGAAGGCGTGGGTTCGAAACAATCCTCATTATGTTTATTGGCAAGGATTGGATTCTTTGACGGCTCCGTTCCTTTATCTAAATTTTAATAACGAAGGTAATAAATCCGAAACATCGAATTATGATATGCGAGAGCTCAATATAATGTTTTTGTTTTAGCTAGGGCATTCGAATGTCTCTCTGCGTTTATACCGAAGTATCTACATAAATTCTTTCTGAAAGACAATTCCGCTGTCATACAAGAATATCTAGGAAAATTTTCACAAATCATTGCTTTTCATGATCCTCAATTGGCTAATCATCTTAGGTCGATTAATTTTGTACCAGAATTGTTTGCTATTCCATGGTTTTTAACAATGTTCTCACGTAAGATTTTTTTATCAATACCTGAATTATATGAAATATTTTATATCACATATATTTCGCTATTTCAGACGTATTTCCACTTCATAAGATACTTCATTTATGGGATAAGTTGCTGTTAGGAGATTCCTCATTTCCGCTTCTAGTCGGATTGGCGATATTAAAACAGTTACGCGATTCTTTGTTGACTTCGGGATTCAACGAGTGTATACTCTTATTTTCTGACCTTCCCGAAATAGATATAGAACTGTGTGTCAAAGACTCCATGACGATGTATCAGAATACACCAGCCAGTATTACGTATAGGAAACATCAGTTCAATCAGCCGAAGGATATGAATTGGTCAGACCCGGAACCGGGTACTGAGAAGATGCCTAGAATTAGCGTCGATGATTTCTTAGACCTATTAGATCATAGCCCTGAAAGATTAATAGCCGTTGATGTGCGCAACAATATACAGTAAGTAAGAAAATATAAAGTATGTCCCGTTTATGATTTTGAAACAATGCTAGAGATAATATAATAAAAATATAGGTAACGTACATTGAAATATATTTTTGTCTTACGTATATATGCATGTTTCTGCCTTATATGACATAAATATATCTCTATCGTAACTATATATTTTATATTGTTCGCTTCATGTAATGATCTTTCATAAGTTAATCTCAACTCCTAATATAATCTCACTTTTTATAGATTTGAAAGGGGAGCTGTAGTTGGCAGTATTAACATTCCGTTTTCGAGCGTGCAACTCTCTCAAACTCATATCGATACTCTAGGACCACACGCAAAACCGCTTGTGGAAAATAAAAATAGCGTCGTTGTGATTATCGGACCGCATGATCAAAATAATGCGCTGGTAAATATGATGAAATAAACTTTTTGTTTCTTAACACCAAAATTTAAACTCTGTTGCTTGTAGTTTGCAGATTTTCTGGTGAAATGCGGAGTTATAGGAGTATGCTCTTTGCAAGGAGGAATTTCCACCTTGCGAATGAAATCTCCAAACGTTATTGTAGCAGCGCGTTAAAAATATTATGAATTTTAAATTATATATAATTTGTATATACTAATTTTATATTATTTGTATATTTTGTAAAATTTTATTCAACAATGAGCTTACACACGAGTAAACTTGTTGTTATGCTATATTTTCACCCACCTCAAGCGGTAACCATAGGAACAATATCAAAACATGCAAGTATCAAGTATCCTTTAGTATCGTCACTCACGTAGAACTCGTTTGCAGTCACTGTCATTGTATAAACAGCCATGGATGATAATATATCGGGAAATCTTCAGAAATGGATAAAGAAATGTTTGAAAAAAGAATTCCAATCGAACATTGAGAAATTCTTGGAAGAAGATATGAACAATGCGGACATCGTTGATAAAATGATCCATTCTAAAGAGATGTCTGCTTTGGTGAACTCGATGAGAACAACGATCGTCGAGCAGTCTGTTTCAAGGTCTGTATCGACATCGGTTTTCGATTCTCGACCGCAATCATCGTTCTCCTGCATCAGCGATCAAACAAGTGAGGATTGGAATTCCCCGTTGAACAATGAGGAGTATTATAATGTGATTCTTGATAAAATCAGTCAAGATAAACCCGCTCACGTTCGATTAGCCGGTTACGAGATTTTTTTGAAAAGCGAGCTGTCGAATTTGAACAATAATCCTATATGGGATTCCCTGCAATCTGCTTTGTTGGCTGGACTCACAGACGACAGTAGACCAATCTTTGAAGCTAGCTTACAAGTGCACGCGAAACTGCTAACTTGCTTACAATCACACGATGTGTATTCAAACTTGTTGACCGCGTTTGACGCTCAATACCATTCGCAGAAAACGTTCGAGATATTACCCACGTTGATCGCTGGTATTAATTTTAAGTTCTTTTTACACGAAAGAGTGTTCCGCATAATACATCTGATGCTTCGTTATCATGAAGAGAAGCTAAAAACTGCGAGAAATCCTGATAAAACGATCGAAGAGTTAATAGAACAATTCATTACGTTTCTAAGTACACATGAATTCGCGAATACGACACAACCGAAAGCGATGAACATACTCAACATCGTCTCCGTGTTGGAACCGCGTGCAGATTGGAGTAGAAAATGGATAGTTAGTCTCGCGACCAGGAGAATGTTTTTAACTGCTTTAGGAAAGTCTCCGACATTGTTGCAACAAATAATGCATCATGTACAGAAAGGATTGGCGGAGCCTCCGCACTCGATGTCAGTTTCAATTTACGACGATCCAATGGAAGTTATCATTAACGGCAATACAGTAAAGACGGTGACTTATCTTCATTGTTTATGTTTTGTATCGCAACTCTGCGCTTATGAAGCTGGCCGCAAGCTTTTAACAGAGAATACGTTCGAAGTTCCATTTTCAATACCGGAATTCTTGACCGCCTGTTTGAGAGGTTTAAATAAATTGTCGACGGAAACGTTAACAGGCGTGCACGAAGTCTCTTGCTACGCTCTCCAATTTATTTTAGATAAGCCAACGATTTTATACGACAACGAGTTTTATCACATCGCGTTGTGCCATTTGCAATCACTGTCCGAGAATAACGTTAGGATATGGCCACATACATTAAATATAATTTTACACATGCTGGACACGGTTGATGGCTCTCGGTTTCTGATCTCGCAATGCAAAGAGCACACAGTCAATTTCGAGAAGAGTCTGTCCAAATGTCCGGCTATGTTCATCATAATAATCGCATCGAACACGTTGCGACAACCCTTTTCAATTATGAATTTGGAGTATCTTCTTAAACTGTTCGAGGTAATACAGAAGCTGTTTGACGTGTTCGATGTCTATGAAATAGTACAGCTGAAAGTCGAAAGAGAATTCTATCCCGCTGTGTCGTATTTCTATAAGAAGTTAGACAAATCCTATCTGGAGAATGAAAATAAAGCTCAACAGATTAACAGGTAATTTGTTACAGAGTGTGCGATTAAAGGAGTACCATATATTATTTCTATTTCTGTATCTTCAAATAAGTGTTTCGGTATGCTCCATCATCTACAGCTTCTCTCTCTTCTTCAATATAATATATTTTTTCTAAACTGCCACAACCTGTGAAGAAAATGCATTTGAAACAACTTATTTGCAGTGCAGTTAATGCGTTATTGCTTAAAATGGTATCTATACCATTCGGATTGAAAGCCCTCGTTCAACAGACGACGGTATTTCAAGAATTAATCGAGGGATCTGTGACGCCTTTGAGGACGTCGTGGACTTCTATAGAGGTGGTCAATTTTGTAACATCCGCAGCTTCCTTCCAATTGGGCTATAACGTGATCGCCAATCTCGCATCTCACGTCTTGTCCACGTTGCTTTCGGATGCGTGTCAAATATTAGAAGATCCATGTCACTTCCACGATCCGTGGGATCATGAGAATATTCAAAAACTTTTACAAACGTTAACACTCTTCTCTCTTAATTTTAAATGTAAGGATAATGAATGAAAAAAGTAATTCGTCGTGTAGTTTATCAATCTATCAGTTTATTTGTTTTTTAAAGGCTTCTCTGCATTCATGACAAACGTAAAAGATTCGTATAACGAGGAACAGAATTATCCACTCAATTTACCGAAATTGTTCAACGATTCAGTAAACCCTGAGTCAAATTACCATTATTTGGGTCTTCTATCGTTGAATGCTGTTATCTCGAATTTAAATGTCTGTTTATACCTGTTAGAATTACTGAATTTTCAGGTAACACAGTCATATACATTTTGAAAATGTGTTAACACTCCTTTCGAATGTTAGCGAAATACGTCACAATCTTTTGTAGAATATTTTGTTAGAATTTCAACAATTCGATGCAAAAGAGGACGGAGAGATGAGTGTAAAGTACATTGATGATTACACTTTAATACGACACAAAATTCTATCGAAAACTTATTTCGTTAATATAAAAAATGAAGAAGAAGAAACATCAAAATCGGAGGAATACGATTTACCGATGTTGCCTCCGCCGAAATTTGATAACGAAAATGTTCCGTTAGAAGATGAATACGAAACTGAGTTGGAATATTCATTACGAGCCGACACACCAGGATTATTAGATAGCGATTGGGTTGAACAAATTAGAGAAGCGTATAAAGCATCGCAGGAGCCGACAAAAGTAAAGTCATTTGATATTCAATTGACTTCAATAGAAAACATATTTCAATATTGATTCAATTACTGGATTTACAAAACATATAAATTCGCTTTTTATAGAATACAGTATTAATTCAACTACTAGATAAAATGCATAAAGCGATTCCTACTTCAGAATGGGGAGAACACTTCGAATGGGAGGAAAATGTATCGTCGAGTACAGACTCTTGGTTCACGGAAGAGATACACGGAATTGATTTCGTTTTATACTATGCAGAACAGAATGATATCTTAAATAATACGACTGAAAATAAGGAGAGATTACAAGAATTCATAAATGCCTGTTACGCATTCATTCAGTATGAGAGACCGAAGAAATTCGATGGTTTCGATTGGTTTTTATCTACCGTGTTCATTATCTGCGAAGGAAACATAGAAAGGTATTATTA